CATTTCAATTAGGAAAACCTTGTTATTTCATTAGAGACACTAGAAATAGAAAAGAAATTAGAGTTCACTTTTTTCTTAAGGTATCACTAAAGGGAGATCACCACACAATTCTGGTCAACTGATAGGTTCACAATATTATCAACATTATGTGTGTAGTGTAGTTAATAGATTACAAGACAAAAAGTAAGTTTACAGAAGACAGATCTGCATATGTTTACCTGATGCTGCTTGTCCGACAGCAGAGGGGGTGTTTGGCATTACTCTAATAATTCTGCGCTGACCAGACCAATCCTGAGATTAAAAGAGCAAAAAAAAAAGCATAAAACAAAAATAGTCATACTATGTTGAGTAACTCAAGTGGCAGTCTTATTCTTAGGTAGGCAAAATAGTGCATGGCTCAACTTTGGTACTTATATGGAGGGTAATTTTACAAACGTCTAGTTCTGGTAGCTGCTTTTATTTTGCCAAATGGAGTACATGGTAAGGTGAACTTTACAAATCTATTGATAGCTCCGCAAACTATATAAATGGAGGATCAGCTTGGTAAGTTTTACTTAAAAAAATATTCTAATATTGGTTTTGCCAGGATCAGCAAAGGCCGCAAAATCAAGATCAGGATTTAATACTGCAAATAAATCTAAAGAAAGAAAAGAAAAAAGGAGCTCGCATGAAGCGAGATGTTTCATGTCCAGCTCAACCCATAAAAAAGAAACATGGCATCAGTCGGCTTCTTCTCTATTGGAATATGCATAGATATTATATCATACAGTGAATACCCTGAATCACCGGTTAAGCAAGCCTAGTAAACCCTGAATGCAGACTGACTGACTGACCTGCAAATCTTTCATTTTGATGCCAGCAGCGATGGAGACCAGAAGCTTTTCTTCAGACAGCAAGGGCTTGAGCTCAACCAGAACCTGCTTCACTGCAATTTCATAATCTCATAAGCGTGCAAAACAAAAGCCCGAATCGTTGAATCTGAGGCTTCAGCGATTGCTTTCAGTGACTATGCAATTACTATGTCTAGAACAAGCGTTTGCGAGACCCATCAGTGTTTGATTGATTGCCTTCGGGGGGCTGAAAATAATACTGAGCACACTTACCAATCTGGGGCTTGACGGAGATGACGATCACATCGCTGCCGTCCACAACCTGAGACGAGAAGTAAAAAAAGAAAACATCACGTGAGACTCGGAGTGTCTGTCAAGATTGAACACGTGACAGACAGACAGAGATCGTTGGCTGCTTAGAGTAGAGGGCGTGAGGCGAGGTGAATCAGATTGGGACCTGGGCGTTGGAGGCGAGGATGGTGGCGCCGAGGGAGGCGAAGGCGGCGCCGCGCTCGGGGCGGCGGTGGGGAGCGGTGCGGACGGCGGAGGCCGGGAGGACGCCCGACGCCGCGACGCCGCGCGCGATGCTCTCGGCCAGGTTCCCCGCGCCGACGAAGCCCAGGCGGAACGCGTCGCCGCCGTTCGCGGGGCCGGGGGCGGGCGCGGCGGGCTGGGGAGGCGCGGCCGCCATTGGGGAGTAGGAGAGGGGCGCGGCGGCTGGAGAGCGGATACTGTTTGGAGTCGGGGAGGGAGTTGTTGGCGGCTGGCACACGGGTCTGGCGCTTGGAATGGATCTGTGGGTTTGGACGCTCGGCTCGGCTCGGCTCGGTCAGGCGCGGGGCGACACGAGGCGGCGGGTGGCGCTTTCTGCTGCTGCCGTTTGGATGGATGCTCCTCCATCATCATGTTTTTTTTTTAAACCACCTTCATCATCATGTTTGCGACCGAAAATATCTGTGCTAAGTTTGTTCTTTTGTTTGTTTGGATTGGACTGGTTGGATACGCTCGACGGCTCCACGCAACAACAACAAAAAAAAAAGTCCCATGGAGAGCAGACCCTAAACAAACAAACACGATCCAACGGCGCAAGCACCCGTAAACATTGTTTTGTACTACCTCCCTCAATTTGAACTGGAAAAACGTTTTATATTTTGACGCAACTCTTTTCGGTTGGCATTGCAGTTCCATTATATACCCTTTTCCGGAATTCCATTAACCGTCTAGAATCTCACCCTCTGAGCTTCTCTTATGACCCCCGATTTCTTCTTGATTTATTGCGGATCGTCGTGCCTACCTTTCTCCAACCTGATCATAAATGAGTGATGTTCGAAGGATCTCAACCATTTCGTCGCCAAGAATGGGACCGGTCTTGCCAATCTCCACGACAATCTTTGCCCTGGTTTAGTTAATTGAGGTCCACTATGAAAAAGCATGAAAGCTGTGTGTGATGATGGTGGAAATACAACTTAGAAATCTAAGGTTGGATGCTTGTTTCATTAACGACTCTCGCATGTTCCTTAACCCCCCTTACCGGCTGTACCTACATCACTATTCATATGGACACACACATGCTTTCGTGACGGGGCTAGCTGAAGCTGAGCTGACTAGATGGCAGCCAAATGAGAGTTCATTCCCGCCCAAAAAAAGGCCATTCACCATATTGAATGAATTCAGATTCAATTATAAACCCGGTCATCCTTGGCCTCCGGTGCGTACCTTGGCCTTCCCATCACCGACTAAAAGATTTGGAAGGCAAACTCGAACCTCTCGTAACGAAAATTGGAAAACCTGTCAACCCTTGGCAAGGAGGAAATTTTCTTTCTACACATAGGAAACTTGTCACCGGTAATGTCTGCCTCTCAAATCTTCCTCCTTGCATGATGGCATTGTCTTTCCTTCCTCATGGTACCATAGGGAATTCGATAAATAGAGGCGTTATCGCCTCGTTAAATGGCCATAAATTTGTCGCCTAAAAGATTGTGGGGCTCTAGGGGTGCTCAACTTGAACTAATGAATATATTATCATGCCTAGATGGATTTGGAAATTGTGTTCGGATCAAAATAGCTTACAAAAACCAATCATGTTGGCTAAGTATCAGGGTGCTCCCGACATTTTCTCTTCCTCGGGCTAGGGAAACTCTCAATTCTAATGCAGCTCACATCTTATCAAACACTAGCTACTTCAGCATGGGGCCAAACCAGTCCATTGGCAAAGGGTGGCGTAGCTGCTTTTGTGGACAAATTGGTGGCTAGGTGAAACCACTCTCAAGGATCGCTTCCTGCTGATGTTTGACATTTGCGTTGACCCTGCGACTTTGGTCTCATCTGTGTTCTCTTCCCATGGATGGCACCTCAACTTCCATCGGTCTTTTTATTTTTATTTTTTCAAAATAGAGGCAAAAGATTTGCCTCATCGATTAATTAAGTAGAAAAGAATTGCCCAGTTAATCAACGGAAAACCGGGCGAAAACTGATACAAACCAACCACATGTGGACTACTCACGGAGCATGCAACTCCGTAAACACGTGATCAACCCTACAAACATACCCAACACATAACAACCACCAACCCTCACACTGCTACATCACAAAGAAACCCTCAACAAGAGTAACACGGTCGAAGACCACATGCACCACCAAGAAGATATGTCCCAATGAAACTCAACCTCATCAACCTTCTAGATTCCACCACTTGGTCTCTTGAGCCTTTCGATACTTACTCTGCCAAACTCCCTACACAACGTACTATCCTAAAGTATGTCTATTGCCCACTTTAGGGCTTGTTCGGCTGGGGGGTGGGGGGATTGAAGAGTATTAAATCCCCTACAAGTTAAAATCCCACCCCAAGTCCCTCCTATCCTCTTGGAGAGATGATTAACCGAACAAGGCCATAAGGAGATTCGGTAATGTCGGCTCTCTCTGAAGTGAACGATTTACATTTGCATATCACCAAGGGCAGGTTGCCATCCAACTATGAGATTGTTAACTAACACGAGCCATCAAACAGGCGATGTGTCTTGTGCGGATAGCTCGAGAATGGTAGCCACGTTTATTTTTTCCGGATGTGCCCTAGCTAAATCCATCTTGTCAGATTTTTCGTGAGATGTTTGAGTGCACTTGCAACCCTAGAAACTTATTATATCTCTTTGCTATTATCAATCATGTGTTAGCTTGTCCGTCTGCATCACTTATTTATTTATTTATTTATTTTGTGGCTGCTTATTGGCCCTTAAGGAATGTTATGAAAAAGCTTACTATATAATTAAACTTCCTAAGCACCACGCTAACATTATCTTCAAAACTCTGGGAAAACTGAATCACAGGGCAATGTAGTCTCTCGTGGGGCTCTTATAAGAGATCTACGCGTCGTAATAGCACCCCTCTTCCCACACACACACCGCACCACCGCACCAAGATAGCTAGATTATTAGCTTCTTTTATTTGTAGCTAGTCTTCACTTTTGTGTGAGCTATTCATGTAGAGTTGATATCCCCAGCAAGACTCTCATGCGCTGTGTTGCCTAGTTTCGGCCAACACTATGATGTCTTTTATCTAAAAAATTGCAACTCGATGAAAACCTAGTTCTCTGACCGCCTCAAAGACTTTGACACAAGCACTAGTTTTGACCTGGGATCAGGCGGGCCACAAAACCCATGCCTCTTTCCATCCTGTTGAGAGAAGGCCGTGTCATAATTCATTTTCACAAACTGCACTCTTGACTTCTTCCATGCGTGCATAGTTTTTCATCATCTGTTAGATATAGTTGGGTTCCACAGCACTCTTGACCAAGCGACAAACCACCACTTGACCACAACAAATCCACCCACATCCGGAGATGTGGATGAAGCCAACCAGGACCAGAGCGGATGCTCCAACAGAAAACCACCACATCCACGATCACGACCAAAACAAGGAGCGGGGGAGGCAGGTTTTCCAACACGGCTTGGCTTTCTCGCCGGAGTTCACCTTGTGATGCCCGAATGTAGAATGTCTTTTTCTTATCCTTCATACTCCCTCCGTAAAGAAATATAAGAATGACTAACATAACATGTATATAAAACACAAAGAGCATGTAAACTACAGTAATCAACTAGCTAGCTTGCATAGTCCATGGAGCCTGAAGCAAAACTAAAACTTAAAGCCGGGTATAGTCTGCTGCAACAGATGAGATCATTCATCATGTTCGTCTGCGTACTCTTGAGCCATTTCTCTGCAGCAGGAGCATCCGCCACCGGTCGACCAGCGCGGCAGCCGGAGGTCCCGGATCCTGCTCTCGCACCTGGCCACGAGCCTTTTTCCCGTTGCTTCCAAGGTGTAGCAGCCGCCGGCGTCGAGCAGCCGGAGACGCGGGCAGTGGTCGAGGACCGCGCACAGCATAGCGTGGTCGAAGTAGCCTCCCGCCACCACGAGCTGCTCCAGAAGGGTCAGCTTCCCCATCGCCGTCGCGCCAAGTTTGCGGCCGCGCATGTCAAGCATGCTCGTCAGTCGTCACGTGGAGGCTCCTCAGCAACGGCGCGCTGCGCGGAGATCATGCACGCTCCTCGGTTAGATCGCGTGTTGGTAGATCGATCTATTGCTAATTGGAAGTTTGATCGGGATTACGGTGGCGTACGTACTTGTCGGCGAGGTAGACGAGGAAGTCGCCGTTGACGCGGCCGCGGAAGGACTCGCACCGGCCGGCGCTGCGGTCCACGGCGGCGCGCGCCATCGCCCGCCACCCCGCCGCAGCGTCCTCGTCCCCGTCCTCGTCGGAGGCGAGGTCGATGCGCCGCCACAGAAGCGGGTCCTCGACGGCCGCCCGCCGCCACGACGCGCACGCCAGCACCGGCCCCGTCCCGCGGAGGACGTCGGTTTGAAGCCGCTCTAGGATCGCACGCAGGGCGGTGCCGGGCAGCGCCGCCCAGTCCCTCCAATCTGCTGGCCGAGAAGCGGGACGCTCCTTCTTGCCGTGGCGGGGACGTGAGCCGCGACAGGCCAAGGCCTGGTCGGCTTTCCTCTTCCTAGTCTCCATGACCATGATGATTTCTTTGAGATATCGCGTGTACGTATAGGTGAGCGAAATCGGCGAGGAGATGATTAGAGATGGCAATGGATCCAATAGATCAAAAGTCTCTATAGCCACCGGTCATCGTACATCGGCAAGTCTCTCCGGAGGAAAAAAAAAAAGATAAAATCTGGACGCAATCCCTCGTCCGCAGGTCTCTCCCCCAAAACCGGAAATTGTTCGACTAAGGAAAAAGTCCAAACAAATCTTAAACTTGTAGACGAAATCTTATAGTCCCAGAAATCAGCACATCGAACTCTCTAATCCCAGCCTATTTTAAACCTTTAGAGCGATCCCAAACAGGGCTTGTAACGTGGCAGGTCAAATCCTGGATTGTTGACTGCGGTCGTGAATGGGCCGCCCCAACATACGCTAAACTCCACCCGCCAGCCAATAGAAACATTGGCTATTACAGCTATAAAAAGAGGCCCGAACTATTTAACCACACACTGCAGCATCGAGATTTGAATATTTTTAAGGCCAAACAAATATTGAAACAGTGCTGGCCAAACTATTTTTGAATTATCCGATTTGTCAAAAGTGCGTACACTTCTGAAAATTCTGAATGCTTTTTTATATAAAGATGGACATTTGTTTTTGAAAAAACAATCATTTTTGGGAAAGTGAACACTATTTGAAACATAAAAAAATTGCGGGCGAAAGGAAGATTTTATTTTGTCGATCAGGACATAAGTCATTCTAACAAATATCAGGGACGTCTCCTAGTCCTGAACCGAACCACACTATTTTATTTCATAAAGATTTTCATAAAAAAAGGGAGCAAATATTAAAACCTGAACAAAATTTTGAAAATGTATAGACAATGTTCGTATAGTTTTGTAAAATGTAAATAATGTATTTGGCAAAATATTACCATGTCATATTTTTCAAAAAGATATTTTTGGAATTTCGTAAATTATTATTACAAATGTTTCGAAAAATTTCAAAAATGATTTCATATATGAACGCTTCCATCTGTTCTTATATACAAGGCGTGATATATAATCACTAGCAGCCTTCAGGGCCATTGGCTAGTTCCGGCCGCTGCGGGTGTGCATCCTCTCAAGCTCTGGAATATATAATCACTAGTAGTTTTGCCTGCTCTTAATAGAGGATAGATCAGTGATATATAATCACTAGTATTTTTTGTCGCTCCTAATAGAAGACAAAATGGGTCTTGTAGTTTAAAAAATATTTATTTTTATTACAAAACAAAGAAAACAAAAAGAAAATGGAAAGATCCTCTCCAGTTAATAGACCGATAGAAAACAGCCCCTAAATGGTCCAGAAGATACCACATGCTCTTAACAAGCTAAAAACAGACTGGGACGTTATTGTGCTAATGAGACAACGAGCCGTTAACAGGCCAAAAAATACTGCTGGCCTGAATTGTCCTAGTTATATCATGGACCATTAACAGGCCTAAAGAGAACTCACATCATAAACGGGCTGAAATTTACCGCATGTTTTCAATAGGCTGAAAGTCAGGTCAGATCACAGAGGGGCCCAAGTGTACCATGTGTCGTTAACAGGCTGGAAATGGGCCAAATCTACAACGGGCCGCTAACAGGCCGAAGGGCACACCAGAGCCGTTAAACAGGACGAACGAAACATCGAGCCGCAAATGAGTCCAAGTGTACCACGGGCCTTTAACGGGCCGGAAGACACACCGGACCGTAATTGGGCCCAAAGACACAACATACTGTTAACAGGTCGAAGCTACATGGGCTGCAATGATGCCTAATGTCCAACAGGCCCGTGACGAGCCAAATTGGTGCTGGTCCTTATGGGTCATATGGACCGAGGTTGTAATTGGGCTATCTGCAAGCAGACCTCTAGTGAGCCTGCCCACTAACTTTTGCCTAAATATTGTGGGCCTATTACTGGGCCACACTTTTTAATTAGATGGGCCACTATTGGGTCGTGCCACATAACAATGTTTTATAGGCATATATGACGTTGGATATGCGACACTTGTCACAAGGTAGAGCTGCCACATGGCTCCTTGGTGTATGAGAGTCCAACACATGGAAATCGTCATTGCTTGGTGTTGTTAACGGGTACCAGATCTGCAATGCATACCCGATAGCTCATTATGAAAGTGGACACTTCTATGATCAAAAAGTGATTATTGTGATGGAACACATCCCCGACAGCACATGTATGACTATCACTCGTAGAAAAACCCCCATTCGTCCCGGTTCGTGAGGGCCATTTGTCCCGGTTACCGGACCGGGACTAAAGGGTCGTTACTAAAGCACTGTCCCTTTAGTCCCGGTTCGCCCAGGAACCGGGACAGATGGGGATCCACGTGGCTGCTGCCGGTTGCCCAGGCAAGGGGGCCTTTTGTCCCGGTTGGTGCCACCAACCGGGAC